GAGGCAAATTCTATCTTTGGCATTTAAGTATGGTGTCTTTCAAGTCATGATTCATGGAGTAATATTTTTACACTTTACACATGATACGATTCTTTGAAGTGGAAGACTTTTGGTTTGGATGCATGACTAAGCTTTCATTGGTTCTTATTAGTTTGTTTTAAGTATACTTTAACCAATTTGTTTGCAGAGTCTATAGATGTTTGTGGGCGTCGTCACTGTAAACCCTTAAGAGACACAACTCATTTGACTACGGACACCTAGAGGTTTAAAGGCTTGTTGCACATGCTCAGTGCAATTGTTTAGCCAGCAAAAGTGGTATAGTTAGATTTTATAGTTTTGTGTGTTCTTTAGTTATAGTTTTGCTCGAGGACTAACAAAAACCAGGTTTGGGGGTATTTGATAACTCATATATTTCATGCATTTATACCATCCATTCCTAGTCCATTTGTGATGTTTTAGAGTACAATCGGTCGTGTTTCACCCTATTTTGTATCAATATGCAGTTACATGTTTTTTAGGATTAATTTGAAGTAAAAAAAAGTGAAAACATGCCATTTTTGGGGTTGACCCTTATTCAAACGTGGAAAGAAGTTTAGTGGCCTGTTTTGAAGCCCAAGTAAAGAATCCAAAACGAATATGGCTGTTTAGAGGACCAAGAGCAGAATGGGAAAGGAATTGGAATATCTAGCCTAATTTGGAGGAGCCAAATAAGGAAAAACGTTCAAAACCTGGGCTTAATGGTTGGGATCACCTTGCAATCAGCTGTAGCCTCATTTAGCATATAAATACTAGGGTTTCAGACCACTTTTACACAAGCCCCCTTTGGGGATGCCCAGAGCTCTCTCTTTTCTCTTTCTTTGGCCTTTCTTCTAGAAACAAAACCCTATCTCCCTTCACCATCCGCTGCCAACGAAGAAACCACGCAGTCGCGCTATTCTTGGAGAAGTTCAACATCAAAATTGCTTCAAGGGCGTTTCTTCTATGAACTTTAGTTTCACTCATGTTGTTCTTGATATTTATATATTCTATAATCATGTTGTGTAATTAAGTTCATAGCTAGGGATTTCGATGTAGCCTTGCAAAACTACTCTTTGTTATTAAGTTAAAGTATTCAATCTTTTTCATTCACTGATTTTATAGTTTAATTTGTTTGTTAATCTTAATGTTTGATCACCATTAGGGCTCCTTATGAATTATTTGATCAAGGTTAGAGTACACATCATGCTTAATCTTGGTAGACATGTGCATGATTGAAGAAATTGCTATTCATACATATTGCCATGTGATTTCTTTGGTTCTTTGAAATTTTCTTGTTCTTAATGGATTCTTATTTGGTAATCTAAGTTGCAACTAGGTTGCAGATTAGGAGTACTTGATCACAACCACACATCAAATGGATGATCATAATTGAGTAAAACAAACCCTAGTTGCAGATTGGAGAGTTGAATGCATCTTGACTTAATTTTCATGGAATTCGCTTGTAATGGTGAAATCGGTATTCCTAGTTCAATGCCCATTATTTCTGATTCAACCTATCATTTATCTTTATCTTTTTTTTCATTTTTAAGTTATTTTAGTTTTCAATTGAAAAATCTAAATTTAGATTGCATTTTCATTATTTAGTTAGGGTTCGAATAAAGCTAGTAATTTGTAGAGATCTAATCAGTCCTTGTGGTTTGACACCCTTACTTGTGCCATTATACTATCCTTATGTTTACACTTGAATGAAACACAACACATTCACACTCCTCAACACTCCCCTTGGATGCCCTGCCTATATATTAATATCGGCTGCCTTGTTAAAACCTTACTAGAAAAAATCCAATGAGAAAAAGTCACAATAAAAGAAAAATAATATAACTTTTTACTTGGATTATTGATATAGTGTTAAGTATGCTTATGTTGTCTTGTTAAAATCTTGCTACGACAAAACCAATGGAAAAAATCCTAGTAAAAAAAAGTGCAACACACTTGTGTCCTGGATGTTCTCACCTTATCAGTATCTCCCCCATATTTTTGCAATCTTCAATCTGATTGATTTCTAAGTTGGCTTAATCCGATACCATATGCACTAGCCTTTTAGAGCTTATGTGTATTGAAAACTTTAGAGATGTGTGTTTAGTCTTATCGTCTTAGATGAATCCATCCTTCATCTAAGCAATACAAGTTGCATCTTCTTCATGAATGAGAGTTGGAATGTTTGTTTTTAAAGATAGACCATACGAGTTTTGGATGTGATAGATTAATCTTAACCAAAAATATTCTTGACTGGCTTCATGGAAAGCAAGTGATGAGTAAATTTTATATTAGATATTTAACCATATTCTTAGTATATTTTGGTTATTATTTTGGAAAAAATTTGATACTTTGAATTGTATTTCTAATATAGGACTTTCGACTTCCTCTTAAGCAAAACGCAGTCAAATGGACGAATTTTGGAGTACTTCTAGTTGGAAGATGTTCGTGAGTCGCTTAGCTTGGTCCTATCAAAATATCAGGTTTTTCCACCAAACGGTTATTTTCTGGCAATAAAATGAAGGAACGATGCGCAGTGCTGGAATAGTGACGTTTTGGGCTTGAATTGCGTTTTTGGAGCCCAAGATGACCTCAGATGGTTCGTGGCCTTCTGTAGATGTGTTCAAAATGTCCTAATCTTTAAAATAAGCTATTATGGGCTGGATTTGGAGGATATTTGAGGTTAAAACGTGGCTGGATAAGTACTTGGTAGATTCTCCTAATTTAATTAGGACTTTATTTTCTAAGATATTTTACTTATTATTTGGTTTCCTAGTTGGAACAAAAGACTACATTTTAGGGTTTGTGGGATGGCATAGCAACATATATTGCTTTGTCGTTCTCAGGTTTTTACGCTTACTTTTATGCAACTTTGGAGACAGAGAATAATTGCTAGGGTTCTTGGAGATTTTTTACTTTAAGGTGTTTTCAATCCTTTTCTTAATAATATTTTCTATAATTTCAATTATGAATATGTGTAACTAATTCCTTTTGCTAGGGCGAAGCCTTGAGCCTTATCATGAATATGTGATTTTTATTTAATTGCTTATGATTGATTGCTTGCATACTTTGAATTATTAATCACCGTGATTAAACCTGTCTAATTGTCTTAATGCTTGGCCACCATTAGGATCTTTAGAAAAGTAATTTGATGCAATTTTGGTCGAAAGGTTCCCTGAAATTGACGCTGTCTTCTTGTGATTAATAATTGTAATTTCACTCAAGATGAACACCACATCTTAAGAGTTGCATGTTTTTTCAAAGGGTTTTCATAAAGCATAATGAGTCTCTCATATTCATATTTGATCCGAACGTCCGAACGTCCGAACGGATTGCATGTTAGATATACGTTCTATGTTAGAGGTTCCAAGTAGAATATAAATTAGGAAAACCTAACCTTCAAAGTGGCATGTGTAGATCATAAGTAATTGGTAAGAATTCATAGGATTGCTAGGTGATGGTGGAACCCTAGTGCTTTATTAAATTGGTATTTAAAACTCTTTTCTATTATCATATTAATTTAGGAATCACTACTGGTTTTTAATTAAAATTCATTTTTAATATATTACCTAAATTCAAAATCACCTTTCTCAATTTTTAGCTTTAAGTAGTTAATTAGGAATTGTTTCTACATAAATTATTCAAATAATCCTTGAGGAGAACGACCTTGCATGAGCATCTATACTACAATATCCTTGTATTCTTGCAAGTATTTCATGTGGTTTTAACCCTATTTGCATAGATGTTAAAAATCCTATCAACAAGTATTTCTGAGTGATTGGAAGATGTAGCAACTAGTATTTATTTCGTTGAGCGCCATGAGATTTTTGTAACTTGATAATTGAACAATATTCACTTTGTGAGCAAGTTTTATATGGATTGGGGAGAAAACTAGGATCTAGTAGTGAACAATATTTAGTTTGTGACATTGCCACGTCCGCCATCAAATTAACATTTGACATTTATCTTTCAACATGTTCATTGAAAATGTTCTTACGTTGCCTGTTCAAACCTTTCACTCCCCTCAATATAGATTAATGTAGAATATCATGATAAAAAAAAACTTTTAATAGTTTTTATTTTATTTAACAAATATAAAATAATTTCATAATGATTTCCAGTTAAAATATTTTTGACATCCATTTAGAAAAATTCTGAAGTTCTAACATAGTTGATCACCGAGGCTACCTTTAGCGTTGATCATTGACTATTTCATTGATTTTTTACAAAATTTGCCCGAGACCCCTCATAGTGTATTTCGAAGCGTTGATTCCGAATCCGCGGTGCGTTTTTCCAAATTTAATCGTTTTAGTTGAGTTTTACTGATGGGACCCAATATTATGCTTAGGTGCGACTATCGGAGACTCTAACTTTCTTAGCTCAAAAGGATGTGACATCGCAAGTACCTGTGAGTGGGTCCTTTGTTTTTACGTGTATATATATATGTATATGTGTTTTTCTCAACAACTACTTTTATATATATTGATGTGACATGCCATGTTTAGCTTTACAAATAGATTTTTCGTACATTCATGTTTTTAATATTATTTGTGAGAATAAACTTGTGGCATGACATTCTTGCATTTTACTTGCTCATTATTACATATTTGCACGGTGTCTCTTAATTACTTGTACTATCTTGGGCCAAGGACTAGCATCACGTGTAGTTCACATGCACCGTTTACATTCGCTTTGGATGCAGAGTTAGGTGTCAGCCTGTCATTTTGTGTGATGTTTTGGACTTGTATATGATGCGACTAGCGCAACTTAAGTGATGTAGTACTAGAATATAAAACCTGCACCCAACCTATATCATTGCCTAAATAATTATTAGATGGTCATAAAAATAGCTCGACAGAACAAGAGAGAAGTAACTTTTTGTTTAGAAACAAAAACTGACCCGGCCCATTAAGACTCAAATTTTTTTTTAGACATCAAGTGGCTGACCACACTCCTCACGCCGATCCCTTACCAAACGCATCTCTCTTTAATTCCATAAAACACAATTAAAATACAAAACCCGATTTCGCGCCCTTATGGCAGCTGCTCCTTCGCCCTCGCCTGCCCTAAGCAATACCAGCTCCGGCGACACTCGCCCCACCACCACCGCCACGGCTGCCTCGCCTCCCGTCGCTCCCTTCCATCCGGTGCACCGTACCGACACGCCCCCCAAGACCCTTCGCGGCCTTAACAAGCCCAAGTGTAAGCAGTGCGGCAATGTCGCTCGCTCCAGGTAATTCATTTGAGGGAAATTGAATTCCTTGCTTGATTTCCCTTTCGGTCTGTATTAATTTATGTTCTGACAATTAGGTTTTGGTGGAGTATGCGATTTTTGCTTTTCTAATAAGCATTGCCTTGTTTGTTGTTTGCGGTTTTGGTAATTAATTTGGGGGAATTGAATACGTTGGGCTAAAAATTGGATGTGTTTATGGTCTTAAAGGCAAGTAATTTGCTGTCGAAAGGCAGGGATTTAACTATTCCGGATGGTAGATTGTAGAGACTGGATGAGACAATCTTGCCTTGGTGGGTTTGATGTAATTCTGATTTTCTGCCTTGATTTGATGAAATTTTCCGGGAAATTTATGATGTGATTGGGTGCTTTACATTGATGAAGCCGATTGGCTTTAGTATGACTCCTTTTAGCTGTGCGGATGGTATTAACTTCAAGAGAGAATGCCTCTGAATCAACTTTAGAATTTGGCGCAAAGAATAGCACTGTGGCCATGATAATTAGATACTTGTTAATATTTGAATGTGTTTGGTAAGTACAGTAGTTATTGTTGGACGAGATTAGTTTTTGTTTTTATTTTTATTTTTATTTACTAGAATGCATGCCCTAAACAGATTGGAGAAATGAGCGACCCCGATCTTTTTCAATGTATTTCAAACTTTGTTCGATCTCCTCAGTGATATAGACTCAAACCTGAAACTAAGAGTTTTGAAGAAAAGTAAAAAGAAATTAGGAGAAATCGAGAAAAGGAGGGAGGAAATATGGAAGAAGAAAAGTTGCTCTCAACAATACCTTCTAAGGGGTGGCTAGTCCATTGGCGGACGAAGACTGCTGCTGAGAAGAGGAAAAGATGAAGGCGAACTGTTTGAACAGCTTTACCACGACAAAGTAGGAATTGACTTAGAAGTTGGATGTGATTTTGGCTGCCAGAAAATACCAATGGGCTGCCACTTGTTCTTATACTGTCATCAATTGATTCCCACTAACGGGCATTCCATCCCAATTCATATTACTACAATTATAGAAACATATTTAAATCACCAATTAAAAGCTAGATAAGCTTATTTGAGGGATCCCTCAATCGAAGGGGACTCTATAAAGGTAGTATATATAGTTGATAAAATATACCAACCAATTATACCGTATACCCCTAACAGTTCCGTACAAAAGAAGCTAGTATACCACTTAGGTAATCTTGTTCCACGTATCGACAAGACCCACTATCCATGTACCATTAGGAAGTATTGTTTCCTTGGTAAATTATGGGCCTAGCTTCTCCTTACTGTATCAGGATTTAACCTTGATGTGCAAGCCTTTATTATGTGATATACTCCAGTACTGATTAATTAACATTCTTGGAAGTTGGAAAGTTTGTGGTGAGACTCCTAGAATGGCGTTAATGAGACTTTAAAGAGGACATTCTTCATTTTCAGTTTCAAATTTATGATTTTCAGCCACTCCTCAACTTCGTTCAAGTACCATTTGACCCCAAACATGCACTTTAGGAACTCAGGATAATCCATTTTCATTACCACCTAAAGAAAGAAAGACTGAAATTACTGTTTGATGGTCTTGTTCACAGATCTCACTAAGGCACATCCAAATAAAGTTTTCAACGTTAATTTCAATTATGATCCTTCCCCTTCCAGCACCAATAGGAGATAAGCTTTAGTGCACCGACTTTGTTGATATTCTGGATGATGGTGTGGGAATCGTTTTTTTTTCTTCATATACAATGTGCTATGTTATTGGTATGTTTTTTACCATACGCTATATTGTGTTGAATATATGTTTTGTTTGTATAACTACATTTAGAATAATATCCTTTCTTTCTGTTTCATGTTATTGAGATGCTTTGCATGTGCAGGTGCCCATACGAGTCATGCAAGAGTTGCTGCTCAAAAGCTCAAAATCCATGTCATATTCATGGTATGTCTGTTCAAGATTGTATACTTTATCAAAACATCCTTAAAGTGCGTGGCTATTTTGAAGATTGGATAATTATATTCATTTTTCCTTTACTGTTGTGGAGGGTGGGGTGTGCTTGTGCATTTTGTGAAGTTTTGGTAATGCTTTTCTACAATTGGCATTTCAAAGCTTTATCTTCTACAGTTGTTGTTTCAAGCTTCGGGACAAAATCTTGTATTGCTTGGTTTTGTCTGTATGGTTTCCAACAATGCCAGTTGATAGAGAAAATTTCACATGGAGAAGAGTGACGACAACAACTGCCACTTTTTGAGGGGTCTGAGAAATTTTAGGTATCTTATGTAGTAATGGCTTTCAGTGTTATGTATGGTGATGGCTGATGGCTTTGAGCAACTACTCTGATGAGTGTAAATGAGGGAAAGTCGGTGGTTTCCAATATCAGTAGAAATATATATTTTTTTTCTAAAGTGCTGACTCCACATAACGTCCCTTTTTCCTAAAAGGAAAAGAGTGGATAGCTTAAAGGTATGGTTCCACCACCCATGACATCACTTATGCTTATGCAGAGGATTGAGTAAGCTATCTGTGGCAATGTTGGAATCTTAAAGTGGAGCCTAGGGAATAATGACAGCAGCTTAGTGTCTTTGAGCTGCTGAAAGCATCATGAACAGTCTCGGAAACACTGCGTTCCTACCCCTAAGGTCTTTGGGTGTGTTGGATGAATATCCATATTTGAAATGTTGCAAAAATTGAAGAGCAGTGGGGCATCTGGTTAAATGTGATACTGTTATAGGCTTATGCTTAGAAGCATGAAGTGGCAATCTGTTCCATTGGTGGACAAGATTGGTTATGTAAAATTTTGATCATAGTTGCTTACCTAGGTGAGATTCTTATTAAATTGTGCGTGTCAGAACCATCAAGTTCTCACTCACACTACACAGAGACAGCAAGGTGTCTTGATAAGGGTAGGATGTTGACTTGATTTTGGCATGTCTTTGCATGATTTCTTGGGGTTGTGTTACTTATGATGGGTCTGTTCAGGTTTGGGCTTGGGAATTTTCACCTATCCATTTGGATTGGTCTGCTATTTTAGATTAAGTGGGACTGTTTTCTTTGATTTATATTTGAGTTTGCATTTCAGTTGTACTTTAGGTGTTTGATCCTGATGGACTGCTTGTTGATCATTGTTCTTTTTCATTCTGACTAAAAGAAAGATCGGTCATCAGTTTTGTCCTTTGTTTTTATTAGCCTTTTTAAGATATAACTATTAATCCAACTTAGTTTTTTCATTCTCAAATATATCAAGAGATCTGCATTGAGCATCATCTTATGGTTTTGGTTTCTATGGATAGGCCTAGATGTTTGGGTGGGAGATCCAAAGCTCTTGTTAAGGAGATTTTTTTGGTCCCTTTAAGAAAAAATTGTTTGTTTGGATTTTTCATCTATGCATGTTTGTATTTGCCTTCTCCTTACTGTACATTGTATTGTCTCTGCAGTTTTGAAAACAAATGCAACTTTTCCAGACAAGGCACTAACCTCAAACTCTCCTCTATTTAACCATCAATCAACCGATGCATCACCATCAGGGTGAGTTCCTAACATAAGCTGCTCAATTAATATCTGGTTATATCCTATAATTCTGTCTCTAAGAATTTGGTCATTAAATTGTTTTCCCTACAAAACTGCATTGCTCTTCTACCATTTATATAATATTGTGTCATATTGCTCAAGGTTTAAATTGTTGGCAGCGAAGCCAAGTTTATAGTCTAATTCACTATGACCTAACTTGAGAATGGGTTTGTCAAAAATTGGTGATTTTAATTAAGTCGAATCTTCCTATGGAAGGCAATTGGCTGAAGATTTGCACTGGTTTCTAGCTTGTTCTATAGTCATAACTTTGATGGTTTTATTCCCTAACTTTAACAGTTGGCTTTCTGAGCTTCCCTTGTTACAACCCTTTCTATTTTTTTTTGCTTGCCTTGGCTGCCATTGGAACTTCATTCAGTAAAGGTCTTCAAAGCAAGTACTGTTTTCATTGTGGATGTAGATTTTCTTAAATTGTTGGCTGTACTTCAGGAATTCCCATAGAGTTGCATCATTCCGGCAACCTTCGATCAATTTTGCTCAATTCAATAATCTGCATATTCCGCTTCGTTCGAAGAAGCCTTTGACCAGAAAGGTGCATGTCCTTTGGTACTATCTATTTGTTCTTGTACTATTTTCACTGTGAGAATGACTTGTTCTAACTAAAAAATGTTAATGTCAGGATGCTGTGGCTATTAATGAGTGGAGATTTTCCAAGTTGAGGGAATACAAGGATGGAAACATTGAAGTGGAAAATGAAGCTTTTGATCGATACATGCAGAACGTCAGCCTATTAGAGCAAGTGTTTTCTGTGGAATCTATTGCAGAGGAGTCAATGAGGGATGGATCATCCAGATCAAACCAAAATACTATTACTAATACTACAGAAGATGACACTGAGGCTATGGTGTCAGGGCTGAAGTTGAAGTTGAGGTCAAATCCAATGAGAACCAGTAACTTCCGAAAGAGGATACAGCAAATTGTTGACGAGGGACTAAAGAAGCTTAAGAAATGCGAGTTTGATGACGGGGTCAAGAAATCAAGTGTGCCAAATGGATTGGATAAAGGGCCCAAAAAAGAAGAAACACGGTGGGCTGGAAGGACTTCTGCTTTAGGCGATCTCATTGATAAGCTGAACAAAGCCCGAAACAAGGAGGATTTGAAGGCATGCTTGGAGTTGAAATCTCAGCTCTTCAGTGAACACAAATTGACTGGTAGAACAGAATCGGGAGACGCTGACATAATGAAGAAACAGACTGCAAAGAATGATTCGGAGCCCGGAAAGGAGTGGAATTGTTCTTTTCCTAAAGTGATTAGTGCTACCGAAATTGATCAAGAAACTCTGAAAAGTGTTAATGCACACTTCTCTACCCTTGAGCAGATAGAAGGTTTATGAATAAAAAGATTCAAAAGGTAAGATTTTGCTGTACAATTTGTACTTTTAGTCAGTTTTAGTGGTGTCATAGCTTAGTGTAATTTCATCCTTGAGTTACTGTTCTAGTTCATGTATCAACAATGTCTCCTATATTTTACTTTCTAAAAATGTTTTTATGACAGTTTCTTCTAATTAGCATTTTTAATTTGAAAGTGAAAGTGGTACCTGAATCTTTTTCTAAAAAGCTTTTATTTAGTAACAAGTTCAAGGACGAATAAAGAGTTTAAAGGAGCAAAAAATAGATGAAAGTTTTAATGGAGTTAGCTAAAAGGACCATTGTTGTATATTATACCGAGATCAGGGATCAATACTGACGGATTTTTAGTTTAGAGACCGAAACTTCAATTGAGTGAAAGTTGAGGAAGTATTGCTTCAATTATCTCTATCACAATCAAAACAAACTATCTGTATTCTCTTTATTGGGATGGGATGCTTTGGTTATTCACCAGAACTGCTTCCGGTCCTGCTTTATTTATGTGATGATAATTAATGGGAATGAAATAGATTTTAATTTTTAATTTTTCTGAAGAATAAAGAATGAATAATTAGCTTATAATGAATTGAATAAAATCGAGAGGTTCATCGAACCAAAGCATCTCGAAGGACACAAAAGTTAGGCCGAAAAGTGAGCAACCCCATTGGCTTGCATTACCGCATACTCTTGAGTCAGACTGCGTGTGCTATTCACTTGGGACAATACTCTTGAGGGCCTGAGCTTATTTCCTATTAGAAAATTTTCATTATGATGAGAACACATGTGATATATTACGTGTTTTTATATAAGTTGTAAGAAATTTTATTTTTGAAGTTATTAATTTTTTAAAACATATATCTTACTATTTGTATAATATCATCCTGTGTTATGTTCATGTAAACACAGAAAATTCCTGAAACGAAAGAGACAAGAACAACGTGCACAAAATAATATTTGTATTTTTTGATGGTTTTGGGTTACAATCTCTCTCTATTTTGATCCTCTGATTCGATCTCCGTAAGGTGTGTATTTGTGGATATGTGATTGATCCAAAGGGCCGTTGGGCTTGATCTAAGGATGAACGTTCTTCAAGGGTCGTGGACTTGATCTTGAAGGTGGATTTGAGTGGATCTTCAAAGGGGCTTTTGGGCTTGATCTTGCAGAACGGTTGGATGTGTGGATTTGTCGACGTTGTTGATCCAAGGGCCGTTGGGGCTTGATCTTGGATGAACGGATGATGAACGATGGTGCTTTCTTCAAGGGCCGTCGGGGCTTGATCTTGGAAGAACGGATGATGAACGATGAACACTTTCTTCAAGGGCCGTCGGGGCTTGATCTTGAATTGGTGGATGATTGTTGATCCAAGGGCCGCCGGGGCTTGATCTTGGAAGAACGATGAACGAAGAACGAAGAAGGCTTTCTTGATTCTTCGGGAACTTGGATGTTTGAGAGCTTCGGAGTTTCAGAGCTTCAGAGCTTCAAGGTGTAATATGAATTGGTTTTCCAAATGAATGAATTGGCTTCTATTTATAGAATTTTCCAAGGCCTAATTTTGAATATAATATTCCAGATGAAATAAGTCGTTTCTGCCAGGTGTTGACACGTGTCCTATTTGATGACTTTTCCAACTTATTTCAATTTTCGTTGAGTCGCACACTACGTGTAAAATTTATGTAATACATGAGCGTTGACACTTTAATTTATCGGTCAACATTTATTTACCGAAATTTCGATGTCTACAAATGCCCCCACTTCAAGGCACGTCGTATACATGTGCTTGTCACGTGTAGGAGATGCGTTTTGAAGTCCCTTACTGTAGATGTCGATCCAAGGGCCGTCGAGGCTTGATCTTGAATTGGGCTGGAGATTTCTTCAAGGGCCGTTGAGGCTTGTTCTTGAACTTTTATTTGAAATTTCTTCAAGGGCCGTCAAGGCTTGATCTTGAAGGTTGAAATTGGACCACAAGGAGCTTCATGTGGTAGATGATCTTTGGCTTTGGTAGTGGATGAATCGGCACGTATTTTGTTGCGCTTGTTGACTTTCCACAGCTTTGATCTTGAACTGGGTTGGAGGATTTTCTGGATTCCTCCAATTGTTGATTTTCCACAGCTTATTCTTGAACTAGGTTTTGATTCAAGGGTGGTAGACACTTAATCTTGAATCGGACTTGTGATTTCCTCAAGGGCCGTCGAGGCTTGATCTTGAATTTGGCTGGAAACTTCCTCAAGGGCCGTTGATGCTTGATTCTTGAAGGTTGACTCGAACACATGGCAAGCAGGCACGAGGTAAAGGTGACAACCTGTTTCTTTGTTCAATCTTTCTAATTCACACCTGAGCGGTTTGGTCAACGGTATGATCTTCAAGATTGATGAACTCTTCTTCCAGTTGGTGACTTGATCTTTAAGGATTCGATTTAAGGGTGGTGAATCGGCATGTGCAGCTCACAACGCCTAGTAAGCCGACCCAAGAATTTGAGGGTCAAAACAAGTTCACCGTCCTCAGGCAGATGCAGCATCTTCTCGAGTTCTTCATCTCGGACTCTTTCTGCTGAGTTGACTGTGCATGCTGCATTCTTCTCTGCTTGTTTCTTCAGGTAGATATGGCAGCTTCTCGAGTTCCTCAGTTCGGACTCCTTCTGCTGAGTTGACCGTGGAGACCGCATTCTTCTCTGCTTGTTCCTTCTGCACCTTGTCTCCACATGCTGCAAGGTATCATTTTCACTTGCCTTATCTGTTCTTCAGGTAGATGTGGCAGCTTCTTTGAAAGTACAGCAGCAGTGGAAGGCGAGTACTCGAGAGCAGTGCTAGGTAGGCAATCAGGGAAGGGTTCCAAGCAGTCGGTTCCTTACCCGAGTTTGAGTGGAAGTTCCGGCATATTGTTTTCTTTATCCTTGTCTTTGTAGGTAAGAACAAGGACAAAGGAAAGGACAGGGAGAACGCATGATATGAGATACTCTTGCTTTCTACCCTGGTGATATGAGATACTTTTGCTTTGGAGTTATTGGCTTGCAGAGGTACCCCAAGGAATAAGGAACACTGAGTGACTCGAGAGGCTTCGTTGGGAAGGCATTCTCGGAGATGAAGAAAGGTTCCGTATGTCTGCCTTGCTATGGAAGGTGAAGGTGGACAGTTATAGGAGGTCCCTTAATACCTGTAGAGGTACTATTCTTTCACTCGTGTCGGCAACCAATGCGTGATTGATCAATATGGCTTCACGTGCTTTCTTCTTTATCAGAAATCTTCGACAAATTGCCCGTGATTTGCGCAAAGTTGAGTGTGCATATGACAGGTGATGACGCGGCTGAAAAAGGCTGGCGCCTCTTCGATAACTGGGATCGGCGCTTCGACAAATTACCCGTGATTTCCGCAAAGCTGAGTTTGCGTGTGATGGGTGATGACGTGGCTGAAAAAGACTGGCGCCTCTTCGATATCTGGGATCGGTGCTTCGACAAATTGCCCGTGATTTTCGCAAAGCTGAGTTTGCGTGTGACGGGTGCCGACGCGTCTGGAAAAGCAAGATGCTTCTCCGATTTCTGAGCTTGCCTCTTCGATTTTTGAATGGCCTTTTCGAATTTTGAGCTCGCCTCTTCGATCTCTGAAATCCCGTCGAGTGCTGATTTTTATAGAGGCACGCAGTTCGTTTCAAAGCACACTTGAATTTTCGCTTGTAGAAACTCCCTTCTTGCACTTCTAAGATCTTAATTTGTCCGACCTTTTCTTTCTTCAACACTTTGAAAATGTCTGGACCCTCCGACCGTCGTTTTGACTTGAATCTTGGTGAAGAAACAGTCCCGCCTTCTCCAGACAACATATGGCGCCCATCCTTCATATCCCCCACTGGTCCTCTTACCGTTGGGGATTCGGTGGTGAAGAATGATATGACCGCTGCGGTGGTGGCCCGAAACCTTGTCACTCCCAGAGATAACAGACTACTTTCCAAACGGTCTGATGAGTTGGCTGTTAAGGATTCTCTGGCTCTCAGTGTGCAGTGTGCAGGTTCTGTGTCTAATATGGCCCAACGCCTATTTGCTCGAATCCGTCAAGTTGAATCATTGGCAGCTGAAGTGATGAGTCTCAAACAGGAGATTAGAGGGCTCAAGCAGGAGAATAAACAGTTGCATAAGCTCGCACATAGCTATGCGACAAACATGAAGAGGAAGATTGACCAGATGCAGGAATCTGATGGTCAGATTTTACTTGATCATCAGAGGTTTGTGGGTTTGTTCCAGCAGCATTTGCCTTCGTCTTCTGGGGCTGTACCGCTTAATGAAGCCTCCAATGATCAACCTTCGGTGCCTCCTCCTCCTGGGGTTCTGCCGAGTGGTGTGGCGGCACCTGATCGTCCTTGAAGATCCCCTCTTGTAAATTTGATTTGATTTGATTTTTTTTTTTTTTTTTTTTTTTTTAAGTATGTATAATGCAAATTTATGTAAAATTTCCAAAAAATGAAATGGACTTTTATTTCTCTTAATGCTTTTTTTTTTTTTTTTTTTCTCTTTTTTTTTTTTTTTTTTTTTTTTTTTTTTGCTGTATATATGTGTGTATATATATACATACATACATACATACATATATATATATATTATTATTATTATTATTATTATTTTTTTTTTTTTTGCGTGGAGTGATCCACCATCCCAAAACCCATTTTCCCTTGTTTTTTGCATGGTGCTAGCCACCAAGAATCCACCTTCTCTTTTTTTTTTATTTTTTTTTTTATTTTATTTTATTTTTGTTTTCGTCTGCCTTCACATGGTGCTTGATCCACCATTCCACTTTTTTTCACGTGGTGCCAGATGCACCACCACCTTTTTTTTTTTTTTTTTTTTTAATATATTTTTTTCTGTATAAATTTGGGTGACGGGATGAGGAATTTGTAGGAAAGGATGAAGACAACGGAGATGCTGCAGTTGAGGCTTCATGACCGGCTAGTCGTTTGACGGCGGTTATTGAAGTTCTCCGCCGTTTGACGTTTGCCACTGCCACTACACAACCATTGCTCCGCCACTGCATTCTTGCTACCTTGCACTGCCGCCACTGCACAGCCGCTGTACTGCATGCCGTCGCAAAGGAAGGGATCATATTTGCAACCTGGGCATTTCCCACCAGACCACCAAGCGTTGCCACAAGACCATCGAAATCCACCTCTATG